GACGACATGAAGCTCTTTATGGAAATAAGTAATTCTAGCGATGCAGAAGAATTCCAGAATGAAATCAATATATTCCACACCTAGTGTGGTAAAAGTCTACTTCAACTGAACGTAAAAAAAATGTACCGTAATAGCATTTAGCAGAAAAATTGAAACACCGCATATTGAAATATCATTAGGCAACAAAATAGTTGAAAAATGCAAAATTGTAAGAGATCTAGGTGTAATCCTAGACTCCAAACAAACTTTTATAGAACATTATAATACTATCATTAGAAAATCAAACCAAATGCTAGGCTTCATTAAAAGGTTAAGTCATAATTTCGAAGACCCATACACTATTAAGCTTTTATATACCACATATGTAAGGCCAATTCTGGACTACTGCCACCTAGTATGGATTCCATATATTTCCATACACGAAGAACACATAGAATCTGTCCAAAAACAATTCCTTTTATATGATTTACGTAAATTGAATTGGACTGCATTTCATCTTATAGAAAAATGTCTCAGATTTCAAATTTGCTTAGTTTTTAAATTGGTGGGCGGTAAGCTTATGAAAAACTGATTTCATTGATAAATGGATCGCAAACATTAGAATGTTTTGCAAGAATTTTTAGATATATATTGATTTAAAACAAGGATTAAAGGGTGATACGGTCAAAATTTGGTCAAGGGAAAACGCGTGTAAATCGGTGAAATCGTTTATTTAAAAAATCAAATTAAATTTCTTTTTCAAGTTCAATTAGTATAAAATTCAGGAAAAATATTCACTTAGGCTTCCGCTTTTCCAAATCCGAATTGCCGGGCCTTACGCTTGACCCCTGCCATCAGATTTTGTACAGCCACCTTGTCCACCTTCTTCGCCGCAGAAAGCCAGTTTGCCTTGAACTGCTGCTCGCCCTTAGCAGTTTTTTTTTTGTCTTCTTTAGGTTCCGCTTGACAATAGCCCAGTATTTCTCAATTGGGCGGAGCTCTGGCGTGTTGGGAGGGTTCTTGTCCTTGGGAACCACCTGCACGTTGTTGGCGGCGTACCACTCCATGGCCTTTTTACCGTAATAGCAAGATGCCAAATCCGGCCAAAACAGTACGGAACAACCGTGTTTCTTCAGGAAAGGCAGCAGACGTTTATTCAAACACTCTTTCACGTAAATTTCTTGGTTGACAGTCCCGGAAGCTATGAAAATGCTGCTTTTCAAGCCACAGGTACAGATGGCTTGCCAAACCAGATTTTTCTTTGCGAACTTTGACAGTTTCATGTGCTTGAAAACATCTGCTACCTTTCCTCTTCCTTTTGCCGTATAAAACTCCTGTCCCGGAAGCTGCTTGTAGTCGGCTTTGACGTAGGTTTCGTCGTCCATTACCACGCAGTCAAACTTCGTCAGCATCGTCGTGTACAGCCTCCGGGATCGCGCTTTGGCCGGCGTATTTTGTTTATCATCGTGATTTGGAGTCACTACCTTCTTGTAAGTCGATAGTCCGGCTCGTTTTTTGGCTCGATGCACGGTTGTAGACGATACACCCAGCTTATTTGCGGCATCTCGGAGAGAGAGGTTAGGGTTTCGCTTGAAACTACCGGCAACTCTCTTTGTCGTCTCAGCGGCTTCTGGTTTTCGATTTCCCCCCGATCCAGTCTTCCTGGCTGTCGACAAACGTTTCCCAAACACTTCAATTACATTTGTAACGGTTGATTTGGCAACTTTTAGCGATTTTGCCAACTTTGCGTGCGAGTAGCTCGGATTTTCGCGATGCGCGAGCAAAATTTTGATACGCTGCTCTTTTTGCTTGGACGGCATTTTGACAACTGAAGAGTGAATTCCAAAATCAAAATAGGAGCAACATTCTACACACACACACCTTCAAAATGAGGGGTGTTCAGGTTTTTTAAATGCAAAATTGAAAGAAATACGTCAAGTTGATATTGACCAAATTTTGACCGTATCACCCTTTAGCCAAAACTAAACTTTTTCTAAAACTATTCAAGTCCCGTTAACGAGGATTCAACATATTTACTGAATATATGTATTTCTTTGTTTATAACTAGAGCTAGCGAATAACAACGAAAGGAATGATTTTTTAGATCCTCGAACAAAATGTGACCGGTTTCAGCGAGAATTGCTCAGCTCTAATTAATACTGAACCCGAGACCTTTACGTGAGCCAAAAATAGCTCGCTTCACGGCAAGTAAATATGCAGACCAGTTATAATTCTTTCAGATTGTTGTACCAGAACCAACATGTTCCAATCCACACGCAAATACGATAAACGCTCTACAAACGTTGTAATTCAAGAAGCCTCAGGAACGGCGTTGCATTTTTTGAAAGTTGATTTAGAACCAATGTGCTGGACTGCCAAACCTATTTTGGTCATCTTGGTCGCCAAAGTATATTAATTGAGTAAATATCTACGGTGTTTGCAGACAGTAAATTTGTAAACGAACCAATACAGAGAATCTACACGATAGATCGATCATGCACGATTCTTTGCTGCAGAAATGTTTTAGTGAGAGAATCATTATTGTTGCTTCCATCTGAATGAACTTCTTGGTTCGTGATAGGGTTGCCAAAATGGGCATAGGATATGTTTTTCTTTTGCTCGGTTTATTGTTCGGGGTAATAATTAACGGCAGAGAAAGTACCATGTACTGATGCTTTTAATGATTTAAGTTCATTGGGACTACCAGACTCCCCTAATACTCCTTACCTTTACCTTATCACCCAAGTAAAAATTAGAGTATTATGGCTTCTGAAGACCGTGTTTCCGACTTGTGGCATGTTTTAAAACCTCAATAAAAATTGCAATGTTACTTAAGTTGGGAATTTAGGCTTAGCCCTCCTGGTGTCTTTTGCTGTACACATAAGTCGTCTCCATTCCACTCGACCCATGGCTGCATGTCGCCAGCCACGCTATCTGTCATGATTACGCAGGTGCTTGTCGATCCATTATGCCAGCGCGCGCTCCTTTATCTTGTTCCAGTCGAGTCGTTATCGAGAATCATTTTCACCGGGTTGTCGTCCGATATTCTTCTTTTTGGGCAGCTGATGCAATTCACATCCTCCACTTTCAATCCAGTTCATTCGCATCCTCCACGTTCCATATATGATCTGAGCTTCACCTCGCAACAAATTTCATTAAAGAACATCAGGAGTTCTCAACGAACGATATTTCGTGTTTATAGTGTACACTATTTGAAGAATTCGTGTTAATTTCAACAAATATTAATGCAGACGTAGTTAACGCTATACCGTAAAATCTATAAATTTAACGTTAATGAGCAGTTCCAAGCCAAATAGCAAAAAAAATAAAAATAAATTCAACCTTTGCATTTGCATGAAACTTTTCATTATTTTTTGTTATGGTCGATCACTCACATTTTTGCTTTCGTTCGGTTTTATTGGACCTTGTTTTTTTTTTCAAAATGGCTTCTTTGACATTAAAGAAAATTGAAGCACGAAAACGACGCTTCTGACCAAAATGACATCTGACACAAAGTTGCAGAGAAGTGTAAAGTATTTCTGGCAAAAAATAGAATGATTGCCTACAGCAAACAATTTTACAAAGTTTCATGCGAATCGAATAAGGTCGAGTTTGATCGATTCGTCATTCACGATATTTCATGTAAAATTAGTGCTAAATCGCACAAACCATCAGTGTTGTATATTTAGATACTTGCCAACTGTAGCTTAAACGAGAGGAGATTTAAATTTCATACTTTTTGTCAGTGTACCGCTCTAATCAGTATTTAGAATATGGTCAAATTCGTGCTGCGGTAGCCTTTATTCGACCGAAGCGTCCTTCGGAGTCCAAAGTAAATACGATTCCTGCTGGTGTCATTATCAGCGATTTATCTTTTGTTACTAATGTTCAACAGTAGTCAACGTTTCATAAAATGCTATAAAACGATCCGACTGCATTTGTTTAATCTCTAATCACATACATCAGCTCAACCAGTTGGAACCATGCCGATAAATTGTCGTGGTATGACAGCACTAACCACCGCGCTCTCTTCGGGGACATTAGTCAACTGGTTACGGAAATATGACCTGTGAGTAAGAGTCACAAGCGTAGAGGTTAGCTTAAACGTGACAAACTCATCAATATTAAAACCATGAAATGCTACTTAAACCTTGGAAACATTCTCTTATACTGCGTAGCTACGCAGATTTACTGTCCTGCCAATGTTGTTTTTAGTCAGAGGATCGGATCGATGGGCAAGCGTTTAGAAAAAGCTTCTGGAAATGATTTTCAAAGAAAATTCTACAGAAGCTTCTTAATAAGCTTTTTTAGAAACTCATTCTAGAAGCTTGCCCGTCGACCCACCCCTCTAATTAAAAACAAAATACGAGCAGCAAATGTAGTGGCCCTATCTTAATTATAATTTTTATTCATCACATGTATTTTGATACAAGGTTAGAGCATAGATTTTTCCAAGCACGAATCTATGCAAATAAACCTAGTATAAAAACTGGCACTAAATTGTTAATGCAAGGTATGCTTTGGTATGCCAGACAAAAATCTTTCTTAAATTGGATTAATATTCTTTTGATCAAACTGCAACCTGCATGACGATAATCAATACTCCATATCTGGTAGCCCTACCTAGTATTAACACAATCTGCGTGCTAGAAGCGGAACATGAACCTCTTTGTGTCGCTGGTTGAGACGCAAGGCGAAGCATAGAACCGAAGGTAAAGGTAAAGTTTGGCAGTTGTGCCTGCTAAAGAGTGGTTCTCTATAACGTGTTGTTGGACTAAGTAGTGTGCAACATCGATCACGACCCACCAACAAGCGATCTCCCTCTCTGTCTCTATCTCTCAACTGAGCTTTTGTGGCTTTGGGGGGTGGAGTGCGGTGTCGTTGTAGTAGCACAGAAGGGAAAAAATCGGGCTCGAGAGGTTTAGAGTAGAATGCCGACCGACCACTGTGTACCCCTTTAGACCGACCCGAGGGTGAGGCACACGTTACAAGTGGTCGCCATATAAAAGCTTTTGAGCGGGGTAAAACCATGCTCAGTAACGTGTAACTCCGAGATCGTTCCGTATGTGTTGTGTCGGTCGATATACTTCGCCGGGAGGACATCTAGATTCGTGGTCGTGGACCCATTTTCGATTTCTATCGTGTGCATAAAGGGGACGGGACATCTGGTCTGAAAGTGATTGTGCCCGGGAGTACAATAGGGTGTGTCGAAACCAAACCTGACCTAGTGGATATTGATCGTTTCAATAGAACCAACAGCACTCGAGGATTACCAGCGGCCGTCACTCGCTGTGAGTTAGAAAAGAAACAGGCAAACGGAGTGTGAAGCAATCATGATTGGATTCAAATTGGTATGTGAGCAAAAAACAGCATCATTGTCATCATCACTAGCATCATCCTTGTCATATAGTTGTAACCATCGCCCTGGGAATGGGTGGATTGAATGGAGGAAGAGAGAAGAACATTTTGAGCTGAAGATAAGTGAATGTGCATAAGAAGCGACAGCAGCTGGACAGTGATTGGTTGTGACCTTGTAAGGCTTGGCATGACTTCATTCCCGGTTGGACGGAACCAATCGATGTGATAATATGATTGCGGTGCAATTGGACCAAGGTCAATCGAATCATACGAGGAAGTGTATTGATCTAACATCATGACTCATTTATTTGATTAATAGCCATGGCGATGTGAGGATTTAGAAAATTGCCAACTGTGCCAAGCAAAATGTGACAGTGTCGAAGTGGTTTGAGCTTACTGACGTTGCCGTGTCAGCAAAGTACTCGTGTGGGTAGTGTTTCTACTTTCACTTTTTAGAATGCTTCTGTTGGTGATTATCTTGTTGTCCCTTAATGGTCAGCTGTGGACAGATTTGTTTCGAGCTGATAACGTGACCATGCTTTGGTTATAATGAAGGATTATTTTTCTACTTCGTCGATGACAAGCAGTGAATAGGTTATGCAAATGAACTGAAATCGAGATTTTCGATGAACATAAATTTGCTTGCTTGTAGCTTTGTTAATACAGGCGAAGACCAGTGCCATAACGAACCCTGCCTTTTGGCCTTCAGATTTTTTTTTTGTTCAAAGTAGGAACATAGTGCGCATTTAGAACCATAGTAGACTCCTGCGCTAATAATAATTTCTCAGATATTTTTAAAGTTCTATCACCGCTAGATATTTAATTGGAAAATACATATTACATTCAGAATTATTGTTTTATTCTTTTGCCTGAGCAAAAAAAATATGAGTTATTATATTTAGCGGATGAGTCTATACATTACTGGAAAAGTTTGTTTTTCAGAAGTTAAAATTCGACTACAATAACATTGAAAAATATGTGTAGAGGGGACGCGTCCGGCAAAGAGATTAACATCCCTGCTTCTCATGCTAAAGGTCATGAGTTCATATTTAATTTTCATTCAACTAAACAAAAATCGTACATCAAATTGAACTTTTATACTACATATTTTTTCTAAATTAATTTTATTTTCCATGTTTACAGATGATTTTGTTAAAAATACAACACTGCTTTATGGTTCCAAATTCGTCGTATGAGTTTGATTTACGTCGTCATACGGACGAAGGCAAAAATGAAATAGAAAAAAAGGGTTTCGCTAGGAGTGTTTCTGAGCAAACTAGGCGTGAATGCCTTGCGTTCTTAAATGGGTTGTATTCTACCATGCGTATGATTGATGCGTTTATGGCGGAATCTTTTGTATACCTATTTGATGTTTTCTGCTCAAGAGGATGAGCATATAGGCACTTAGGCCGAAGCAGCGCGCTACCCTATACCCGCTATAAAATGTTGATCTCTTAATTTGAGTCTTGTCCGGCTTTAGACAGCTTAGTGAGTTAAGATACGGCATAACCAAGATGGAGCCGGTGGGTCCAGTCAAAACAATCTTTTGGGTTGGAATTTTGTTTTCCATCCCTGGGCATAGAGTATAATTGAACTTGCCAGACAATATACAAATTCATGCACTGGTTAGAGTAGAAACTCACTCACTCACTCATGTATCCTGCACACTCCTAGTGGAGCATAGGGCCAACCAATCGTTCTCTGTTGGTTTCTGTAAAACAAATATAGGGTATACGTCCCTAACCTCGGTCTAATATGCAGCCATAGATTACGTTTTTAATCATAACTCATCAATTAATTTACCTGCAAACGATATTCTACTGCTAAATGGTATGCTTAGATATGCTTATCATGTCGTTTGCTATCAGGAACCGCAAAAAGTTGAAAAACTTACTTTTTTTAAGACAAAAACTCACCAGGGAAATGTATGTAATATCGGTCTATTGTCCCCAAATTGGGTCTATTTATGGATGCAACTTCGTCCTATCCTGTTTGATTCTCAAAAAAAACGCTCTTGGTAACGTTTTCTTATGTATTTTTTTTTATCACTATCACTGTTAACTTAATACTCTTCATTCCTCAAAACATTTCTTAGAGAAAATTTTACGAAAACTACATTAAATCACTCAAGTTAAAAATTAAAAATTAAAAATTTCGCTTATCGTCTTTCGACCGCAGAATATCTAAATCAAAACATTGTGATGTTCATTATACAGATTTGGCAGAAAAAATCTCCCTTCCTGTTCGTTCCTTATCATCCAAATGCAAACCACATTGTTGACGTTACTCTTATTGCTATATGCTGTCAAATGAATTTCATGGGCCAAAGTTAGGAACATAGAAAAGAAATGTGTCCCTAAAGTTGGGTCCATGATTTACTTGTGAAAACGTTGTTAAACAATTAAAATAAACATAAAATATTCAAACAGTAACTGTGAGTTTTACGTCTAGTGTGTATTATCAGGTAATTCCATTCAATAAATGCCATAATCAGGCCATTTGATGATCGTCAGTGCAACCTTCCCATCTTAACCTTAGAAGTCATGGCGGCTAAAAACTCCGAACAGAGTGATATTCTCAACCAGTTTTATTACTTACGAGAGCTGAAAATGTATTGAAATGTTGTGATATAAATTGATTTGTGTGTGGTACACATTTATCAATCATCAGTGATCAATATTTTCCTTATTTTTTGTGTAATATTCCTTAATTAATTATTTATTTGCGTGATAGGCCGAATGAAAGGACTAGACCCACATTACATACCGTAACCCTACATTTCATAGACAGTGGTGGTGGTGGTTAGCCTGGTCAGTGACGTTTTACGAAAACCAAACATCAATTGTCACTCTACAAAAATCATCAGGCATCCATCGTCAGTGACGAAGAGAGTCCTATAGCAATCACTAAAAAAATGCTATTGCCTCTTCTACCTTCACTTCTTTTTTTCTACCATGCACAGCGAATCCAAATACATAAAGCAACCACCGATATAGACAAAACGCTTGCTACTACTTCCACGATAAACTCTCTCTGTAATATAGCCTGATCGGAGTTGTAAAAGGATAATGATACATTGCTTGCCTGCTTTGTGAGCATAGTTTTATCAGAATCGAGAAAAAACGTAACAAAAAAATCCTATTAACACAGTTGTATCATCTTCGGCGTTACTTCGTCAGCTACACACCTCTCGTTTCCTTCTGTCATAGCGTTATCATTCAGCTTGTTGATCGCTTGTCATTTTGTCGTTTTAAGATCAATCAAGAGGAATTAAATGGAAGATAACCTTTTTTGCTTGTTTATTAAAGGGGAAGTTAACGGCTCCGAAAAAATATTTACGATTTTATTTTTATAAAAATATTGAAGAAAGATATTAAAAAATCCAGAAATCTCACAATTTTTCTAATTTTTAAAGCAAATTCACGTGCATCATATTGACATTAAGTTGGACTCAAAAAGTCATAAAACATCAACGTTTCGGTTTTGTTAAGGGTCTTCATGATGAGATAGGAAAAATATTTTTACATATAATTTTTCACAGGAATTTATGAAAAACTGATTTTCTTGGATGTATGATAATGTTTACCAATAAAAAAATATTTTCTGGGTGGTAAACTTCCCCTTAAGCATTCGTCAACAACCCAATTTCATTACTTCATTATGATCCCTACCAAGCCTTTGGAGATTTTCTTTATTAAACATCTGTTTTGAATTTCTCCTTTACTTTACTTAAATCTTTGGTTATTAGTTAGGTAGGTTCCGTAGGTAGGTTCTGCACGTTGTAGTTAAATTTAAATACCTGTGATCTTGAAATTCTTACCTGGTAGGAGTAGTCTTAAGTGGGAATGACACTGATGAAGACTGCCTATTGTAGTCAAAATACGTATCTGCCGTGGATACTAAAATTAATTAATTAAGATAACCTTTTCTGCTGTTTTATTTTGATATATTTTTGATTTCTTGCATGTCCATGCATGGACAAAATAATAGCAAAAACTCAATATTCCTAAGCTTCGAGCACGTACTGAGATATTTTTTTCACGATTTAAATGAAATATGGCTGTTGATACGAAAATTGTCATGTGGTGTTTGGAGTGCGACGAAGATCGTAATACAATATTTATCATTACTGGCTTTGCTCTCTCTACATTGATGCGAGACAGCCCTACTCCTATCCCCGTCATGGGGCTCGTTGCCGCTTGATGCCAGTCGAGCCGCACCTTCGTGGTGGACAGACGCTGTTTGAGCCACACCTTCGTGGTGGACAGACGTTCGGGTCGGCGAAGCATTTCGTCTACCACCATGCTATGGTTACCGCGCCAGTGTTCGCTTTGCACCTTCTCACTTTGCTATTAACGAATAGACAACATTGCCCAAACTTTGCCATCCTGCTGCATCCATATTTTAGCTGGTAGTCGTTTGTAATAATATGGCTCATGAAAGCGTGAGCTAGGGACTTTTGAGGACTGGAGCTAGGTGTAACGCTCCTTGTAACGGTATAGAAAGATTTCAATTAATAACTGTGGAAGTGCCTCAGTCGGTAAAGGTGCAGCTACAAAGCAATACCATGCTGGAGGTGGCTGGGTTCGATTCGCGGTCCAGTCTAGGAATTTTTCGGGTTGGAAAATTTCAGTATGATTGTACTAATGCAAAAATGGCACAGGCGTCGAAATTTCTCAATTAATAACTGTTCAGGTGCATATAGCACACTAACTTGAGAGCACGCAATAAGCTTATATATAGATAGAGCTGGAATAAGGGCGTAACAGCTTTTGTAATCAATTACTTATCTCGATGATTTCAAGGAATTTAAGGCACTCCCACGCAAACCAATATTACCGTCGGATAGGGGATGTCATACCCTACCTGAAGGTGATGTTGATTTGCGTGGGCAAGCCTTGACCTTCAAGACATCGTTGAAAAAAGTAATTGTTTACAAAAGCTGTTACACACTAATTCCAGCTCTATCTTTATATGCGATAAGCTCCCCTAA